TACGCACGAATTTATATAATTTTGAGGTAAGCAAAGCATTGCGAGATGCATTAATGTTTATAACAGAACACGGATTATTTAGATACTACTGTGGGCAAAAAGTAAGGTGAATTTGTTTGTAAAATGAAAAATCTTTATTTATTCTTCTACATCAATGTCATCCCCTTCGAAGTAATCCCCTCCCGATAAAATACACTTATGCCAACGTTTTTTCCAATCCTCGAAACATGCCAAATAGTCTCTTTCCGGTATAGCCATCAGCGCCTTCTTCGATTCAGCTCTTATCTCCTCAATCGACTCGAAACGCGTTCCCCGGAGTGGTCTCTTGAGTTTTGAGAATAGCCAGAAGTCATACGGAGCCAAATCAGGCGAATACGGTGGTTGCGGAACGATATGCGTCGAATTTTTGGCGAAATGGTCACGAAGAACGAGTGCAGTGTGAGATGGTGCATTATCGTGATGCAAAAACCAAGAGTTGTTGGCCCATAATTCTGGTCTTTTTAGACGAATTGCTTCACGCAAACGACGCATAACGCTCAAATAATATTCCTTATTAAGAGTTTGGCCGGGTGGAAGGAATTCATAGTGCACCACACCACGAAAATCGAAGAAAACTGTCATCATGACCTTGATTTTTGAACGACTTTGACGTGCTCTTTTCGGCCTGGCCTCGCCTTTAGCACGATATTCGCTTGATTGATCGGTTGTTTCAGGGTCGTAAGCATAAATCCAAGTCTCATCTCCCGTAATCATGCATTTGAGCTTGTCCTGATAGTCAGAAAGCATTGTTTCACACACATCAACGCGGCGACTTTTTTGCAAGAAATTGAGCGTTTTCGGTACCAAACGAGATTTGACTTTTCGTAGGCCCAAATGGTCTTTCAAAATTGTTTTCACAGATCCTTCTGATATTCCGATCATATCAGTAAGGTCTCTAACAGTCAACCGACGATTTTCGAGCACTAATTCCTTCACTTTATTGACGTGTTGGTCATCTGTTGACGTCGATGGTCGTCCGGAGCGCTCCAAGTCATCAACACGTTCTCGACCCTCTTTGAAGTCTTTGTACCACTTATAAACATTTTTCTGCGACATGGTAGACTCACCAAAGGCCTTCCGCAATATCCTCAACGTTTCCGCAGCCGAAATTTCATTCCGCAAACAAAATTTGATGGCACATCTTTGCTCAATTAAATCAGACATTGTAAAAATCGAAACATGCACTCTTGGTCGTTTGGTAAACACAAGCGTAAATATATTACTAATGATGACATTGACATGAAATTTGTCCCAGATGTCATTCGCAGTCCTACCAACTCAAGAAAAAAAGAACTAGCCCGAAATGTTAAGCCCGCGAAGTTTAAATTGAAAATTCACCTTACTTTTTGCCCACAGTAGTACATTAAATTACCAGAAAGGTGTCTTGAAGTCTAACGGAATATCAAGAAATTCTCAAAGAATTACTTAGAGTAATCTTAAAAGTAATCTATCTAAACCCGGTAATACATAGAAGTAATCCGCATACAAAGATTGATATCAATAATGTATAGTGTACATGTAGAAGGGCATGAGGACATTCAAATGAGCATGATGAAATATTAAGTGAATTTTTCTATCAATTTATGAACGCTGATTTGCGTGTGAATATTGCAAAATGTAATTTTTTGACAAACAAGGTTTAAAACCAACATCCTTTAAATTAGAAGCTGTTAATAAAATACCACTTTCTTTTTTGTTTTGCATGATACGTATCTAATAAATCCTTAGATAAGAGATGGCGCGCAAGGTATCACAAATTATTTTGCTACAGTAAGCATTACTTTTAAATAGATTGCTGTCAATATTTCAGCCAGATCCATCAAGCGGTTCCATTTATATCGTCGATCAAAGTAAATAACTTTTGCTTATACTTCAGCAATGGAAAAAAGTGAGTCCTAAGTGATAACAAAACATTTCTATTTAACCCTTTTCCTCCCAAATAACAAATTTTTTCTTAACTTTCATCCTCATATCTTTTAATGAAAAAATCGTATGAAAAATTTATCAAGCATCATATCTTGTAGATTATGACTTCCTCTTTCGAATGCCGTTGACAAAATTTACCTAAATTGTAAGCCGGAAACGTTATAGGCTGGTTTTCCGGAAAATTCACAAATTTTTCGCGTTTTTTTTTCTAAAAAAAGTATATTTTGAAATGGAAAAAGTTTGCACACACCATTGGAAACCCTGTTATCGGTGTTATAGATGTCTTTTCTTTCAAATGCCGTTGGATTTTTTCCGAAATTCAAAATGGCATTCGAAAGGAAAAATTCTTTTTTTAAACTTGACGAATTTTTTCCTCCAAAACTATCAAGTTAAGTGAAAAATTTCTAAGAACAAAAATGTCTTAAAATTAGTCAAGAAATACTCTCAAATTTTTTCAGATTTTTTTACAGCGACTTTGGAAATTTCGATTTTCCGATTTTCCACGAATTCGAAAATGAACTCGGAAAATTCTGAAAAAAATTGAGAGTACTTCTTGGTAAATTTTAAGACTCTTTTATTATTATGAATTTTTTTATTGAGTCAATAGTTTTTGAGTAAAAAATTAATCAATTTTATTCCTAGTATACATTTTTTTCAAATTGGTTTCACAAAATTTTAAAAAATTTCAAGTCTAACGATTATTTTTTTTTGCTACCCTCGCTAAAAGTCGATTTTCCTGATCGCGACGCGATAGGACTTTAGACGAGAGAGTTAATTTTCGAATTCGTGGAAAATCGGAAAATCGAAATTTCCAAATTCGCTGTAAACAAATCTGAAAAAATGTGAGAGTATTTCTTGACTAATTTTAAGACATTTTTGTTCTTAGAAATTTTTCACTAAACTTGATAGATTTGGAGAAAAAAATTCGTCAAGTTTAAAAAAAAAATTTTTCCTTTCGAACGCCATTTTGTGTTCGCCATTTTGAATTTCGGAAAAAATCCGACGGCATTTGAAAGAAAAGACATCTATAACACCGATAGCAGTGTTTCCAATGGTGTGTGCAACCTTTTTCCATTTCAAAATATACTTTTTTTAGAAAAATAACGCGAAAAATTTGTGAATTTTCCGGAAAACCGGCCTATAACGTTTCCGGCTTACAATTTAGGTAAATTTTGTCAACGGCATTCGAAAGAGGAGGTAAAAATCTACAAGATGTGATGCTTGATAAATTTTTCATACGATTTTTTCATTAAAAGATATGAGAATGAAAGTTAAGAAAAAATTTGTGTTATTTGAGAGGAAAAGGGTTACAAAGCTTTACACTGAACGAAATCAAAGCTAAGTCAGATACAATTAAGGCGTATCTGCCCTTTTATTTATAACTGTCTATAATTGGGTAAATATATTTAAACATGGCCGTACATCAACTACAATAAACATCGTTCAGGATATCCTGTATAAGTACCCCCCTTCTATGATAAATAAAATCCACGACATGGTGTTAAGTGAGCGGAGAATTGCGTGAAATATTTCAAACGAGGCGGGTATCAGATACTGTTATTTCGATTTTGCTTGATAAATTAGACATGAGAAAAATTTCGGCAAGTTTGCTCACACTGGAGAATAAATGTAGTCGTGTGATCGTCACTAAGATCCTCTTAGCGCATATCCGACGTAATCCGAATGACTTTCTGGTACGATTCGTAACTCTAGATAAAACATGAATACACCACTACAATCCTGAGACGAAGGAACACAGACAGCAAAGTAATATCCACTGTTTTTTGGTATGTACGTGGAATTATCTTCATCGACTATTTAGTAAAAAGAGAAACAATCACCGAAGACTGTTAGGCATCCGTATTGGATCAGTTAAATGAGAAAATAAAGGAAAATCATTCTAATTTGAACAAGAAAAATATTGTTTCATCAAGACAAAGCATGAGTGTACACTTGTGCAACTTCAATGACCAAAATGTAGAATGTAACGGTCCTATTTATGAGCTATTTATTAAATCACTGAATTACTGTGATAGGTGACAACTCGCGCGAGGTGAGTTTGTCCCGTACGAAGGCCTTTTTAACAGCCGAGCGGCCTTAGACTCGGGCGGCAGTCAGGCTTTCGGGCAGCCCGGCCCGTTCGCGCGTCAATAATGAAATCCCTGTTAATTATAATCCGACACTCGATATCGCAATTGTAAAGTAATTAATTGAACGTTTATAACGATTTTCGCTTGTTTATTAAAAAGAATACATATATATATATATATATATATATATATATATATATATATATATATATATATATATATATATATATATATATATTCTGCTTAACTTATTTATGTTGTGAAAGAGACTAGAATAAATATTATAATTATAAACGCCTATAAGTGTGTCCATATGCTTCCCCATTATATTAAAGAAAATCTCTATTACATTTTTTCTTTTAATGAACAAGCGAAAAACGTTATAAACGTTCAATTATTTATTTTACAAAAACGATATCGAGTGTCGAATTATAATTAACAGGGATTTCATTATTGACGCGCGAACGGGCCGGGGTGCCCGAAAGCCTGACTGCCGCCCGAGTCTAAGGCCGGTCGGCTGTTAAAAAGGCCTTCGTACGGGCCTCGCGCGAGTTGTCGCCTATCATTTTTATAATTAAAACTCGTGGCAGAAAAACAAATTCGCGCTTTCAAATAACATGTATACCTAGTATTAAGGCAACGGTGAGCCTTGCACTATTTTTGAGGTAACGGAAAGAAATTAAATAAATATCCTGTCTATTATAGAACGTAAGATTTTATGTATGAAAAATATCAAAGAAAAACTGGAAATTTCCTTAGAAATCCATCTGAAATAATATTATCTTCAAAATTTTATAAAATTGAAAAATTATTATTTGGCATATGTAAAATTTTCAGTTTACATTAATATTAAGGCATCATTGATAGGAATAAATTAATAAGATATGTTGGCGGAATCTATTTATTACTAAAAAATGTATTATAATTTTTTTAGAAATAGATTTTATTAGTTTAAATGTTCATTTTTTACAAAATTGTATCAACTGTCTATACAAAACAATAAAAAATGTTGGGAAGAATGACATGAAAATAACATCACCTGTTTTCTTCTAATAAATACAAGAAAATCGTTGATATAACTTGGATTATCTGTAACAAAACATGATATGATAAATGACTATAGTGTCATTGAAATATTAGATTTTATTTCATATATACTCGAAACATTATTCAAACCATATAGGGCGTCTCATAACTATAAAAACACCTTCGTAATGTGTGGTATAAATAGATTATGTTTTGTAAAATTCTATGAACACTAACCAAAATTTTTTCTTCGTCTTACATATCGATAGCTCTAAAGATATTTATTGGTTCATAGTGTCAGAAGCAACACAAATAATTATTGAATCATTTATTTAAAAAAAGTTAAAATTATTATAAGATTTGTTGTCTTGAAAATAGAAACACTCTAAATATTTCCATTTTTTCAAGGAAATAACTAATTATATTGAACATTTTCCTAAAACATTACAAATTCAATTAAATTCAATTAATTAATACTTTCTTTATGCCTCATTGCCGGCCCCAGGAAAGCGTCACTCGAGGTCGGTAGGTAAGGAGACCAAGCGCTCATGCGTCGTTTAACTCGTCTCAACTTAAGTGCGCGCGATAACTAGAATTAGGTTTTCTGTACGGTTTTTCTTTTGTAGCGTTTCATACTGATTTGTAGAATTCCTTTTTTTCCCTGACCCCTGATTCCTCTTTGAAAATTGGTGACCATGGGAGAAATATCGGCCATCAAGGATCGACACCGTGACGAATAATTTAGACTTTTTTCAAATAACTAATTCAAAAAATTATTCATCTCCCTTTTGATACCAATGAATTTTTTTGAGTTATAGAAATGTAAGAAGACAAAAAGTTTTAGCAAATGGTCATAGGATTTTACAAAACATAATCTACTTATACCATATAACACGAAGGTGTTTCTATAGTTACGTGACGCGCTATATTTACTTATCAAATATGTTTCGATTGCAATTTCATAATGTAAAATAGAATAAAAAATATCGATTTAATGAATTTTAATAATAATTTAGCTAGTAATTTTGCTTTATTGATTACTTTTACGGGAATTAAGGAGGTATGGATACATCGCACATAGGACCTCGACGGATGAAAAATTTAACAAAAATGACAATAAAATTCAGAAGACGGTTTCATTTGTTATTACAAAAGGTATGAAAAATTTATTCGAATGAAAATGATCGGAGCAAGTATACTTGTTTTTTTACCCAAGTTTCCAATTTAAATAAAACTTTTTTTATTCATTTATACAAATGTAACGTATATTAATATAGACAATTATAATGTTTCGATAAATAATAGAGTATTATGTACAATACTACGATGCTTTTTATAAATTCTGTATTATAATGATAACTATATAGTTTAAAACTCAATGAAAATACAGCAATTTTAAGAAATTCATGAAATTCAATTCACTACAAGTGTAAGTATAAAATTAACCAAATAATAAACTTTGTACTTCAAGTACTTAAATACTAATGAACATAAAAACAGATCATTCTCAATAGTGAACAAATACAAAGTTTCTTTTTCGGAAATTCAGTAATGTAATTAGATAATCTTAAAAGTATAAGTAGTTTTTTGTCGAGACAAATGAAAATAGTTACGATTTTATGGATAAACACAGAAGAAATAATAGACGTTATATTGAATGAACCTTAAAATTATCGGATATTATGTTGTCAAAATAATGGCTGACGTCGAATAATATGCTATGTCAATATATTTTGGACAAAATCTAATAACTCGCGAACGGATAGTGATAGGTAAATGAATTTCAACGGCGTTCTAAAGCTGAAATAATGCGAAATAGCAGAAAAATGATCCCGTATCATTTATATAATAACTGTTACGTCTCGCAACGTATTTTTGCAGAATTTCTGAAATTCTTCCCATTTCCCACGTAATCTCGCAATTCAAAAGGAGATCGAAATTACTTATACATCCGCAGGAAATTAATCGAAACTAGGACAAGCGAACGCGCACCAGTAACAAGAACTACATATTCAGCGAATTGTAATATAATAAACAAGAACTACTTTTAACTGCGATACTCATCTTAAAAAAAGAGTATAAAAAGTTTTCGAATACGTTCTAACGTTTCAGTTCTTATCACAAGTTCTTTTAAGTAATTCATACGCAGAACTCCGTACTACGCCAGTCCAACAATTGGGTGTCACTCCTATTTAAGTTATTAACTTTGTTGTGAACGAAACATGTAAAACCTTCTTATCTTTTAAATAAACGTTGTTCTAAAGGAGTGATTTGTCTAAAGTTTATTCGAATATCAGTGCAGGAACTTTGACTGGGTCAACAGATACCTCCTAAAACAAATTTTTAAGGTATAGTTTATTTATTTACAACTTATATGTTACATTTGGTTTTCATTTCTCTTATTACAATTGTGTCTCGTATCCAGTTTGTGTAATTGATAATGTATGTGTTTTATGTGTATGTGTGTGTGTTGTGTGTGTGTGTGTGTGTGTGTGTGTGTGTGTGTGTGTGTGTGTGTGTGTGTGTGTGTGTGTGTGTGTGTGTGTGTGTGTGTGTGTGTGTGTGTGTGTGTTTGTGTATACGAGGTGTGTTCAAAAAGTAAGGTGACTTTGTATCTTTAAAAAAAAATATTTATTTATTTATCAATATTTATGTTGTCCCTTTCAAAGTAATCCCCCTCAGATACAATACACTTATGCCAACGGTTTTTCCAATCCTCAAAGCACTTCTCATAAGCACTTTTCGGTATAGCCTTGAGCTCTTCCAGCGATGTAGTCTTTATCTCTTCAATCGTTGCAAATCTCCGTCCTTTCATAGGTCTCTTTAGTTTTAGGAACAAGAAAAAGTCACATGGGGCCAAATCCGGTAAATATGGTGGCTGAGGCATAATTGTGGTGTTGTTTTTGGCCAAAAAATCGCTCACAAGCAAAGATGAGTGAGCAGGGGCATTATCGTGATGCAAAAGCCATGAATTGTTTTTCCACAATTCTGGATGTTTTCTTCGTATTACTTCTCGCAAACGGCGCATAACTTCAAGATAATACTGTTTATTGACCGTACGTCCATATGGTAAGAACTCCTGATGCACCACGCCATTGTAATCGAAGAAACCAGTGAACAAAACTTTGACATTTGATCGAACTTGGCGTCCTTTTTTCGGTCTTGGCTCATCTGGGCTCTTCCATTGGGACGATTGGACTTTGGTTTCGATATCATAACCATATACCCATGATTCGTCACCAGTTATGACCCTTTTGAGTAAATCTGGGTTGTCGTTAACGTCATTCAACAGTTCTTGAGCGACGCTCATGCGACGGTTCTTTTGGTCAAAATTTAGCAATTTTGGAACAAACTTCGCTGACACACGTCTTATGCCCAAAACGTTAGAAAAAAAAATTTGATGGCACGAGCCAAGCGATATACCAACATCCTCAGCAACTTCTCTGATAGTGATTCGACGATTTTCCAGAACAATTTTCTTCACTGCTTGAACGTTTTCATCAGTTGTTGTCGTGCTTGGGCGTCCAGAGCGAGGCTCGTCATTGGCATCTTCCCGGCCATCTTGGAAGAGTTTGTACCACTTGTAAACATTTTTGTTACTCAGAACAGTTTCACCGTATGCCACCGTCAACATTTCAAGTGTTTCGGAGCACTTTATTTTACTTTTTACACAAAATTTGATGCAAATCCTTTGATCCATATTTTTCGATAGCAAGAAATCGCCTAGCACGCAAAACACTTATAACCTTTACGCCTCTCACAACTAAACAAAAAATGCTATACACTTGAAACTTGGTACAGATGTTCAGGAAGAGTGTACCAACATAACAAAACAAAAAAATCGATAATCGAAAGTACGTTGCCCGTGAAATTTGAAAAGTCACCTTACTTTTTGAACACACCTTGTATGTGTACCTATGTAGGTGTGTCTGCAACTCTTGCGTTCCCGTCTTCTGCTTCTGTCTGTTCCGCTCTTCTTCTCATTTTTCTGTTGACTAATCTTCTCTTCCTCTCTCTCTCTCTCTCCAAGATCTATCTTTTCCGCTCTTCTGTTTTTCTCTTTCTTGCATATTTTCTTTTCAACTTTTTCCTTTGTTACTTTCTTTTGCTTTTTCACCTTTGCCTTTCCTTTGCTTTTGCTCTCATTCTTGCTAATCATTTCATCTATCTTTCTCCTTATTAGGGCTTTGACACCTTTTTCTTATTTCCTATTGCTCCCTCTGCCTTTCCTTTCCACAACCTCACTTATTTTTCCTTAGTATCTTATAATTTGTCTTCTAATTTACCTTTTTCTTTCTCTTCTTCGATTCTTTTTCTTTTCCATTTTACTCCGTCCTCCAATACCTGCTTCCTCTCGCTTGTGTAGTTGTTAGTACTTGTATTTTGTGTGTGTGTGCGCATGTGTATGTTTATGTTTGCGCGTGTATGTGTGTTTTGTGCGTATGTGTGTGTGTGTGTGTGTGTGTGTGTGTAGATGTGTCTGCGAGTCTTGCTTCTCTGTCTTCTGTTTCCGTCTCTCCTTAGGGTCTTGCAGTTTCGTCCACTTGTTTTTCTTTTTCTTTCTTCTCTTCATTTCTTCTTATTTTTCATTTTATCTCCATCATCCACGCTATCTTTTCTTTTCTTCCTATTATTATTTCTTCCCATTCTTCCCCTTCCTTTCTGCTTTTTCCACATTTTTCTACTATGTGTTTCCAATTTTCTTCCTCTTTCATACACATTCTGCATCTCTTATTTTCTTCTTTTTCCTAATACCTGCTTCCCCTCCTTTCATTACCTCACCTAAACCTTTCCCTTATTTGTAGGCCTTTTATTCTTCCCTCTCCTTCAATTTCCTTTAACCTATACCTTTTCATTTCTTCTTTCAGTTCTTTCCACTCGTTTATGTATCTTGATTTTTCTAGTTTTTCTTCTAGTTCTTTTTCTTCTTTTTTCTTTAGCTCATCTCTTATTTCTTCCCAATACTCTTCCCTCATTTCATCTCCCTCTTCCCTCTCTCTATATATTTTACTTTTTTCTAGCCTTTCCTCTCTCTCCTCCATCTTACCCTTTTTATCTTTTTC